TCCACCCTCACTTCTGTGCTGCCTTCAGAGCTATATATATCTTTGTTGTAGCCATGGGATATTTCAGAGACAAGGTGGGTGAGGTGATATTCCATTGCATCAATTTCTCTTACTGAGAGAGACAAGCTTTGAGCTTACACACAGCTCTTCTTCAGGTCCAGGAAAAGTCCTCTGTGTGTCACAGTTCAATGCAAGGTGGAACAGATTGTTTAACATAAGAAGTTAACACATATTTCAAGGGACCATTCAAGGTGAAGTAGCCTATTAACACCTCTCCAGTCACAGGGGGAGAAAGCGGAGGAAAAAGGTGTGGGGAAGTGGGTTTGGTGAGTTACAGATTGTTGTAATAAGCCATTAATCCAATGTTTCTATTCACTTTGGTTTTTTTAGTATCTAGCAAAGTTATGAATTTAAGCTCCCAGGCTCATCTTTTGCAAGTGTTGTGCAGGTTTCCTTTGAGGATGAGGACCGAGAGGTCAGCTATGGAGTGATCATTTTGTGAAAATGCGTCTGACAAAGTGGGTATTCACCCACGAAAGCTTATGCTCCAATACATCTGTTAGTCTATAAGGTGCCACAGGAGTCTTTGTTGCTGTTTGTGAAAAGTGTTCATCCTCAGGTGATAAGGTGTTTTTGTCTTTCAACATTTTTCTGTGTGAGCTCATTTGACATGGTTGTGTCATTTCTCCCACTTCATTGTTATTGGAGCATTTAGTGCACTGGATGAGGTACACCACATGTTGTGATGGGCATGTGTAGGACCCGAGGATCTAGAAAGGTGTGTTGTGGGGAGGGGATGTTGGCCATCATAGCAGTGGAGATGTGTCTGCAGGTTTTGTTCTGGCAGGGTCTGGTGCTACTTGGAGTTGGTGGGTCCTGCTCTGTGCGGAGCTTGCTTCTGATGATGAGCATGGAGAGAAATATGTGCTAAGTACCTATGCTAAACAACCTGTTTCACCTTGTACTTAGTTGTGACACACTGAGAACCTTTCCCAGACCCAAAGAAGAGCACTGTGTAAACTCGAAAGCCTGTCTCTCTCAAAAGATACGCCCCACACACAGTTCTTCTCTCCTTTTGAACAGATTAAACTTTGGTTTGGTTGATAAGGGTAACAGTGTTGGTAGTATATTCTTATAATTCTGGAAGGCATTTGACTTGATACCACACATGTTGATTAAAAAACTAGAAGTATATAAGATTACCATGGCACACATGACATGGATTAAAAGCTGGATAAACAGTAGGTCTCAAAATTTAATTTGAAATGTGAAGTCATTATCAAATGGGCATGTTTTTTTTTGTGTGGTGAGGGATTGGTTCTTGTCCTATGCAATTTACTATTTTTATCAATACCCTGAAAGAAAACATAAAATCATCACTGATAACGTTTGCAGATGACTCAAAAATTGGAGGAGTGATAAATAATGCAGAGGACAGGGCACTGACACAGAGTGATCTGAGTAGTTTGGTACGCTGGGTGCAAGCAAACAATATGCATTTTAACATGGCTAAATGTCAATGTATACATCTAGGAACAAAGAAGGTCAGCCATATTTACAGACTGTCTCCTGCAAAGTAGGGACTCCACAAAAGATTTGGGAGTCAAGGTGAACATGAGCTCCCAGTGTGATGCTGTGGCCAAAAGAACTAGTGTGATCCTGGGATGCATAAACAGGGGAATCTCGAGTAGGAGCACAGAGGTTATTTTATCTCTGGATTTGGTCCTGGCGCAACGGCTGCTGGAATCCCACTTCCAGATCAGGGATCCACAATTCAAGCAGGATTTTGATAAATTGGAGAGGCTCAGAAAAGAGCCAGGAGAATGATTAAAGATTTTGAAAACCTGCCTTACAGTGATAGACTCAAGGAGCTCCATCTATTTAGCTTAACACAGAGAAGGTTAAGGGGTTACATGATTACAATGTATAAGTACCTTCATGGGGAACAAATTTTTAATAATAGGCTTTTCAGTCTAGCAAAGAAAGATGTAACACTTATGGGAAATATTATGTCTGTATTACTTTTCCAGCAGATGTGTGGGTAGTTAAAGTCCCCTCCCCTACACGCCATCTGCCCTCTTTACTTGTTAATTTCACAGGCCAGCTTGTGACCTCTGGAATCAACACAGAGTTTTATGAAATTTAGTCCCTGTGAGTGTTTCCTTCTTTCCTGGATCTCTGTCAGCCAGGGGAGGGGAGACTCAGCCACTCAGCGGTTAAACCCGGCAGTCTGAGCTGTCTGTCAGACCAGGGCAGTAGGAATAACAAATCACTAGGATCCAGCCTCTCTATATGCATCTGCCTGTGCTCTCCATGGTGTGGAGGTTATGAGAGATGGGGTGTTTCCCGTTTGTGGGGTACTGGCTCCAGGGGACTGGCTGGCTTAGTGGGGCAGGGAATGGGATACTAAAGCTCAGTTAACACTGCAGCATCTGAGCTGAGGTCTGGAATCCGGCCTGGTTCCCAACTTCAGTGAAAATACTTTCAATGTTATGAAACAAAACGTACATGTTTCCGTATAGCCTGGAATACAGACACTGAACGTGAGGTTAACACAGGCAGTAACTTCCAAGCATTGCACAGAGTCTGAATATTAAATGGAATTTTGTAAGACTCATCCCTATTTTGAGCAAAACTAACACACAAGTGAACAGTCTGGTCTCCAGATGTTAGTTTGTTAATTCATAGCTAATGCCAGCTGCCTGGGTCTGCCAGCGTCACACTGTGTAGTCCATCACCAGCTAGCCAGGGAGCACTGACAGCTCCCTCCTGTGTGAACGGGCCTCCCTGAGCCACGAGATCCTGGATGGTCGCTCCAAGCCCATTAGACATAGGATAGGGACGTTATCCCTGAGCTAGTACCTGTATTCATGACTCGCAATGAGCATGAGGCTTGATGAGTTACCAGCTTTCAGTAGAACCTTCACATGCCACACTTCAGGACTAAATACCAGGGAAGTGGTGTGATGGTGCCACCCATAAGGCTTTATGGAAATATGCTTATGAATGTATGTATATATAACATAACTAGAATGTATTTTATACTGCATATGCCTTGTAACATATCTCTGTAAAGGTGATGATCTACTGAATACATTCCTCCTATTTGTATGCATGTATCATTTTTGTATTCAAATTTATGAATATTGGCTGCATACTTGTTTGATTCTGAGTAGGCTGTAGTGAAGCAGTTGATCAGCTCCTGAGAAAAGACTCCCATCAAGAAACACTTAAGCCAACAATGAACTTGGAGACACCAATCCACATTTGGGCTTTCCCAGGAATGTGGCTTGGCTGGTAAGGAACTCAGTCATGCATGGACAAGTGACTTGCCAAGGTGACTCCAATACTCCATTTTGTAGCTGGACTTTGCATAGGAGAGAGGAGGGGGTCTCCACCCATGAGAGAAAGTCTATTTAAGCCCAGGGGAGACCCCTCCATTTTGTCTTCAGCTGGCTAAAGAGAGAGCCTCTCCACCCCCAAAGATACCTGACAGAAACTGGAACAAAGGACAGTGACTGCAAGGGGTTTGAGTGATTGCTGGACCCAGACTAGAAGGAGATTAGTCTGTAAAAGGATGCATTCTGGAACTGGTGATGATCTTATCTGTATTCAGTTTCTTACTGTATTAGACATAGACTGGTGTGTTTTATTTTATTTTACTTGGTAATTCACTTTGTTCTGTCTGTTACTACTTGGAACCACTTAAATCCTACTTTCTGTATTTAATAAAATCACTTTTTGCTTATTAATTAACTCAGAGTATGTGTTAATACCTGGGTGGGCAAACAGCTGTGCATATCTCTCCATCGGTGTTATAGAGGGCGAACAATTCATGAGTTTACCCTGTATAAGCTTTATACAGGGTAAAACAGATGTATTTGGGTTTAGACCCCATTGGGAGTTGGGTATCTGAGTGTTAAAGACAAGAACATGTCTGTTAGCTGCTTTCAGTTAAGACTGCAGCTTCGGGGCAAGTAATTCAGACCCTGGGTCTTTGTTGGAGCAGACGGGCATGTCTGGCTCAGCAAGACAGGGTGCTGGGGTCCCAGGATGGCAGGGAAAGCAGGAGCAGAGGTAGTCTTGGCACATCAGGTGGCAGCTCCCAAGGGGGTTTCTGGGATCTAACCCATCACAGGTGGTACCTGGGGTCTACTGATTTTGTCAAGTGTGAGACTGGAGTGGCTTTTGAAGGACAGTGAACACTTTACTGGTTGTCACCAATGGGCCTCTGGGTCACAGGGGGCTGGAAGCCAGGACTCCTGGGTTGTATCCCTGGTTCTGAAAGGAAAGTGGAGTCGTAGTGGTCAGAGCAGGGGAGACTGGGAGTCTCTCTCTCTCTCTCTCTGCTGTGTCATTTCCCCTCTGGTGCTGCACAGTCATAGCTCCCAGCTGTACAGCATCACAGCGGCTGCCACATCCCTTTCACGTGGTCACAGACCCCTGAAGGGACTTCTCAGAAACCCTCCCACCGTGGTTGCTGTGATCTGGGCCGATGGCTGGTCTGCCCAGCCCCACCCTGGTGACACTGGGCCAATATGAAAAAGATCAAAGGGTGCCACTCCCACCAGACACCAAGATCAGTCAGTATCACCCACAGACACCACAACAAAGACACAGGCAGGGTGCTGAGCGAGGATGGGGCCAGGTGAATAAGAGGCCCAGATGTGCCCAGCTGTGAGCCGGCACACAAAGCAGCCCTGAATCCTTCTACATATGTCCTCACCGGGGTCTTCTTCATCTAGTGGTGCATCATCCATCCAGCTGTGCAGGGACCGAGAAAGACAGTATCCAGCCAGCTGTGCAAGATCCCTGGCTGACGCATGGCCTGTTCTTCCCCCCAGCTAGTGTGGTTGGCTGTGGTTGGAAACTGAGAGGCTTGAGCTCTGCATTCAGATGTGTGTGTGGGTGAACCTGAAGTTTCCTGCCCCTCTGATCCCCTCAAGGTAAGTCTATAAAGCCTCCAGGCCTGAGGCACGTACACTGTCTCTGCACTGACTCTGAACATGCAGGTCCAGATCTTGCTCCTGCTCCCCATGGCCTTTCTCCTGCCCCCCAGGGCTCAGGCTGGTAAGTACAGCTGGGATCAGGGCCCCTGGGACTTTGGGGTGAATGGGGAGGTCTCAGGGATTGGATTCAGTGGTTGGTATCTTGGGGCCCATGACAATCTGTACCCATATGTTCACCACTTGTACAGGACTATGATAAATTATATACAAAGTGTACCTTGTGAGTTATCATCTGAAAACTCATAATTTGCTGATCACTATTGTCCTGGTAAAATATGTGTGTCATTTTCAATTATAAGAGGCTACTGTATAGTGTTATTAAGACTTGTTCCAAATCTGGAGAGCAGCCACAAACCAGTTCCTCAGAGACAAAAGGCTAATTGATGCCTCATCCAGGCGTCAACAAAATCTAATAGACCATTACCTGGTTAAAGAGGCCATTCTTGGGCACGAAAGAGGATGTGGGCAAAAAATTTACATCTTGACAAAGATAGCTTGGTATTTCCATCCACACAGACTTTCTGTCTCCTAAATTCCAACTGGAGATGATTCTAAAAGAAGAGAAATAATCATTAGAAGGGGGAGCAGACACCCCAAACAATCTCTCCCTGTCTCTCTACCCACGGCACTCACAACACCAGAAGTACAAAGGAAGCAGCATTGGACTGGGGGAGGCATCCTGACTGAAGGCAATTCAGTCAGTAAGATTGCAGAAACATATGGTGAGAGAGACCTCATAAGGCATACTTTGTACAGAATTTATCCTTGTCTTGTAAAGGGCTGAACACAAGGGTGCAGAGTGTCACAGGGGATGTGGGGGTGGGTGTTGTCTCACCTGGCTCTGATATTGATCTATATTAGCCACCACCCATGTAAGGAGTAACTGGGGAAGGGCAAAAATAATCCCTTGGAATGTGACAGCAGCTCCGAGCGGCCCTAAAGGGTAAAGACCCCATGTCCCCTTCACCATCCTTGAGCCAGCCAGTCCCCTGCCCTGGGGCCAATATCAGAGCCTAAGACCCCTACAGGGCTTCCAGCAACTGAGGCGCCAAATATTGGAAATATAAAGCCCAGTTGTGCTGGGCTCCAGATGTTGCACATCTGCTGCCATGTAGCTTACCAAAGCATGATCCTTGCCCATCTCTGATGCTGGCAGGTGCCTGTCAACTAAACCCCATTGGGATCTATTCTTCCCTTGATCTCCCAGTGTCCTCAGGGGTTCACACTGGCTACACCGGGTTGGGGAGAGATTGTCTTTAGGCCGAGACAGTCAGAGGTGCCTGGGAGATGTGGCTTCCCCGTTCCCATTCATTTGAAACCAGGGGGTCCAGCTCCCAAGGAGGAGATGGGCCAATGCTATTGTTGGGGGTTGTGTTACACCTTGTTAAGGGACTTAAAGATTATGGTGGAAACCAACCAAATATGAGCTCCTAGTGCACTGTTCTAGGTAAGTGGATGAACGCCATCCTTGGATGTGTAATCCAGGGGAAGTGGGGTCACCTTTGGATACGACCTTGGTGGGACCATGAATGGAGACTGCATCCAGATTTGGTGTCCACATCTCCAGCAGGATACTGGCAAATTTGAAAGAGCTACAACAATGAGCCAAGCTCTGGAGACCCTGCCTGGTGGGGAGCGCTCCAAGGAGAGCAATCTCCTGAGGGTATTGGAGGCAAAGAGGCGACTCGGCCCCCGTCTGTAGGAACCTCCATGGGGAGGAAGTTTCTGAGAACAGGGGGCTCTTCAGCCTAACTGGCCAAGGCAGGACAAGACCCAACAGCCAGGAGCTGGATTCAGAAAAGGTCTGGCTGAGACTAACGTGGAAATGTTGGATATGGAGCCAGGGCAACAACTGACCTGGGGCCATGATGGAAGCAGGAGTCACTGGGTGGGTTCTTGCTTTGGGGTGTCCACCAGGGATCAGGTTAGAAGGTCGCCATGGTCCCTCCTGCCCTTGAAATCGATGGGTCTGAGTAACTAGGTGCAGAGAAGCCCAGGGGTGTTTCTTACACCTGTAGTAGGGAAGGTGGCAGGGTTAACCACATCAGCAGCCAGGCTGCGTGGGCACCAGAGCAGGGAGGAACAGCCCCCCCCCCGCCGTGATGCGGGCACAGCTGTGGCTGGAGCCTTCTCCAGTGTGCACCTCCACCCCAGCCCATCTGCGGTGGGGGTTTGTGGGCAGCCTGTGGTTGCCAGGCCCTGTGCTCCCCTCCCCAAGCCTGGTCCATATAACCCCCCGGGCTGAGGCAGAGGCTCCATGCCTCTCCCTGGATGGCTCTGAGGATGCAGCTCTTCATCCTGGTCCTGCTCATTGTGACCGTTCTCCTGCCCTACACGGACCCCTGGGCTGGTGAAGGGGAATGTGGTCTGTGGGGAGAAGGGCCGTCACCCAGTGGCGGGAGCTGTGGGCTGCAGTGAGGGTCTCCCCCCAATCCTGCTGGGGCCAAGAGGTTGTAGCAAATCGTGCAGCGTCTTCTGAGTGCAGCCAGGGCCAGATTTCCCATTAGGCACAGTTGGCATGTGCCTGGGGCACCAGCTTTGTAGGGGCACCTAAAAATTCAATTTTTGCCACTCCTGGGTCCTAGCAGAGAGAGTCATCTCTCAGCAGGGCCGCTGAGTGTGGCTGGGGTCAGGGCTTGGGACAGGGGGTTTCTGAGGGAGTTTGTGGGGGGGGAGTTCTGGGCAGTGAGGAGATGGGGGTGCTTGGGGGGGGGTCTGTGTGGGGCACTGGAAAGCTGTGGCCAGACTATGTAGGGGGGTGCTGAGTTGTAGTAGAGTTTGTGGGTTGATGGGCGGTGTGCGGTGGGGCACCTAAACGTTAAAAGTGGCGGGATACCCCTGCTGCCCGAGCCACTGTGGGCAGCAGGGTTACCGTGCAGCTCCCTGCCACCATAGACAGCAGGGGGGACTCTGAGCTCCTGCTCATAGGGCTTCCCAAAGTGCAAATCTGGTCCATCCCTTACAGGCTCCTTTGGGTCCCCACTGCCAAGCCCTGCCCAAAACAGGGAGGACGGTCGTGGGGCTAAGGCACAGGGCTGGGACCCAAGAAACCTGGGACTAGTTCCCATCTCTGCCCAGTATCTCCATGACAGAGATTTTCCTGGATTGCTGATGGGCACCCAAATCCCTTGGGCAGGCTTAGAAACAATCGTCCTGTGCCTCAGTTTCCCCATCTGTACAATGAGAAGAATGATTCTGCCTGTGTCTGAATGAACTGGACGCTCTCTGGGGAACGGATTGTGGGTCAGTGCATCACCCAGCACGATTTGGGGACCCGGATCTTGGTTGAGGTGCCACCCTAATGCAAATAAGAGCAATGTGTTATGGTGCAAATGGGGAACATGGAGATAGGGGAGCAACTGACCTGGGGCTGTGGTGGAGGCAGAAATCGCTGGATGGGTTCTGGCTCTGGGGTGCCCAAGAGGTCAAGCTGGAAGGTCACCATGGTCCCCTTTGGCCCTGAAATCGATGGGTCTGGGTATCTCGGTGCAGAGAAGCTCAGGGATGTTTCTTACACCTGTAGTAGGGCTGAGCAGTGTTAGCCACATCCCCAGCCAGGCCCGGTGCACACCCGAGCAAAGAAGAACACCCCCATCCTGACCCCAATGTGGGTGTAGCTGTGACCTGAAGCTTCCCCAATGGGCGTCTCTGCTCCTGGCCCATCTGGGGTGGGGTTTCTGGGCAGGAGCCTTTGTGCCTCTGTGGTTCCCAGGCCCTGCCCCACTCCCCCATCTGGCCCATATCACTCCAGCGCTGAGGAAGAGGCTCTGTGCCTGTCCCTGGATGCCTCTGACGATGCAGATTTTGATCTTGGTCCTGCTACCCACTGTCTTTCTCCTGCCCCTCAGGGCTGAGGCTGGTAAGGTTTCTTTGGGAAGGGGGGGATTGGGTTCTGTGGGAAGTGGGGCCCTTGCCAGGCAAAGGGAGCTGTGGGGAGCAGTGAGGGTCTCCCCCTGATCCTCCTGGGGTCAAGGGGCTGTAGGAAAACCTGCAACCTCTCCTGAGTGAGGCTGGGGCTCTCAGAGCAGACTGAGGGGTTGGGTGGCTCAGCCCCCACAAACTCCTTTGGGACCCCACTGCCAAGTTGTGCCCCAGACAGGGGAGCTGATTGCAGGGCGAAGGCACAGGGCTGGGACCCAAGAAATTTGGGACCAGTTCCCAGCTCAGCCCAGGCTCCCTGTGGGGACCTTGGGCCAGTCCCTGGGCCTGGGATTTTCATGGAGTGCTGATGGGAACTAGGCACTCAAATCTCTTAGGCAGGTTTAGGAACAATCTCCCTGGGCCTCAGTTTCCCCATCTGTACAATGAGAAAAATGTTTCTTCCCTTGTCTGTTTGAACTGGACACTCTGTGAGGTAGGGATTGTGAGTCAGTGCAGGGCCTGGCACAATGGGGGTCTCTCATCTCAGTTGGGGTCTGTGCAGCACCTAGCACAATGGGTGCCCTCGTCTTGGTCTCGTCTCAAAATGTTCTGGTTCTTGCAAAAGATTACAACTGAACAGTGACTTCATACAGTTTTGAAACTTTACTATGCAAAAGAAAAATGCTGCTTTTAACCATCTTAATTTAAATGAAACAAACACAGAAACAGTTTCCTTACCTTGCCAATTTTTTTTTAAACTTTCCCTTTATTTTTTTAGTAATTTACATTTAACACAATACTGTACTGGATTTGCTAGGGTTTTTTTAAATTGTTTGCTTTTTCTTTTATCTCTCCTGCTGCCTGATCCTGTATGTCAGGTTCCAAATTAGGTGTGTGGGTGGTCAACTGGGATGTGGGCAGCACCCAGCACAATGCGGGGGCCCTGATCTCAGTTCCTGCTCAGTTCCTAACTCTGGTGTTCATAACTTTGAGGCTATATTGTAACAGCGATTTGTTAAAGGTGGGCTTTTCCAACACATTTGCCTACCTAGGTGGAGACTTGTTCGGAGCTGATCACAAAAGGTTGATTATTTTTCCATGAGAAAAACCCCCAAAGTATTTCTTTTACAGTGAGCAAAAACAGAAAACTTTCACCTAAATATTACCAAAAACTGGGGGGAAAGAATCAGTTTCACCACAATAATTCAGACAGGTTCAAGATGAGGTTTTGTGAGAAAAAATACCCTTAGTAAAAACCACAGTTTTCCATTGGACCAAATGTTTGGCGGGTCAGTCTTGGAGCAGCCCTGGCTGGTCACTGTGGGCTCATGGAGAAGGAGAAGCATCCACAAGGGACCTGTCAGTGCCCTTCTGGAGGCTCCCTGGCGAAATCTGGGGTGACAGCCCCCAAAGCTGTTAACTCAGAGCAGTGCAATTATTGACTCACTCCTGGTGTGTTTGGCACCGATTCTCCACCCAGCGAGGTCAGAGCTTTAGATTTACCCTCCGGCCCCATGAGGTGTCTTGTCTGGGGCAGAGCTGAGCAGGTGAAAGGGCTCCAGACACAGGGATCCCCCAGAGAGAGCATCACAGGGGGTGGGTTGAGGCTGTGGGGACTCACCTTCAGGATGGGGAGCTCGGTCCCTGCCCGGCCCAGAGAGACAATGTGGCTTTTTGTATGAATCTGTCCCCCCCCCCCACCAGGTGAGATAATCGGGGGCCAGAAAGCCAAGCCCCACTCCAGACCCTACATGGCTTATCTGGAAATACGACACGGAAACAGGAGGTCTCACTGTGGAGGATTCCTGGTAGCGGAAAACTTCGTGCTGACGGCTGCTCACTGCAATGGAGAGTAAGCACCTCTGTGCTGGGGATGTCTGGGCTGGCATCTGCAAAGCATGGTCCAGATCCAACACTGGAGCTACAGCCATTGACACCTGCTGGGGTCTGGCTCCATTGCCTAGATTGGGGCAGGGAGGGGCTCACAGCCCCAGGACAGCTCTGCAGGGCTGGGGGAAGCTGGGCATAGATCCCTGTTTGCATCTAGCTGGGGAGTGGTCACCGGGGTGCAGGGGAGCTGAGACCCAGGGGCTGGGAGGACAATGGGGAGTGAAGCAGCTCATGGGAACAGCACAAGGGGCTGGTTGAGACACAGGCTGGGACCCCAACACCACTGGGCAGGTGTTTGTTCTGCAGCAGCGGGATGGGGGGTTTACCTGCAGGCAGCCAATGTATGAAGTTGTCTATACATTATATCAGGCTGGAAGCTGAGTCTGAGATCTCTGCCTGAGACTGAAGTCTGCCCTGTCCCCACAAGATCAGTATTTATGAGTCAGACCCACATGTGCCCGTCCCCCACTGCACCTACGCTCCTGCCCCTAACACCCCATATATTCCACTTGGCTTTAGAGCAAGACCACTGTGTTCGAGGGAGCTCATATTATTAGAAAACAGGAATGAGGGTGACAGAAAACCCCCGTGCGATGCCGGATCCCCCATCTGCAATAAAACAAAGAGACCCTGAACAATTGCATCATGCTGCTGCAATTGGATCATTCATATTCGTAATTTAACATGTTATGACTCATTTAATTCATTAGATACCAGACCCCAACTGAGATCAGGTATTGAAGAGTAAGAGAAAGATTACAATCATTCCGGGGGGAGCACACCTACCAACCCCCCCGCCCTGCTCCCTGCAGCCATGTTGCCTCCACCGAGCCCTCCAGCCCTGCTCCTCACTGCACAGAACCCCCTACCAACTCCCTCACCCCACTCCCTGCAGAATGTTGCCCCCTATTGAGCTTTCCAGTCCGATGACTGTCAGCATGGCGCCCTCTAGCACTCCAAGGGCCCAGCTGACATCTCTCCGCCCCGCTCCAGTTCCAATCCCGTCTCCATCTGGCTTCCAGGGACATCACCGTGCTCCTTGGAGCCCACAACATCCGTCAGGATGAGGAGACCCAACAACGAGTCTCTGTGCAGCACAAGATCCCCCACCCTGGATACAACAAGACGAGCCGTGAGAAGGACCTGATGCTGCTGCAGGTACCTGCCCCCTCAGCCCCCACCCTGGCCCCGCCTCCATCTCGGTGTGGGGCTGACCCCTCTGCTCTCCCCCCATTGCAGCTGGTGGAGCCAGCAGAGCTGACTGATGCCGTGGATACCATTCCGCTGCCCCAGGCTGGCCAAGCCGTGGAGCCAGGGTCCATGTGCAGCGTGGCAGGATGGGGCAGGACCAGCCTGAAGAAAAAAACAAACATCCTCCATGAGGTGGAGTTAGAGGTGATGTCAGACGAGACCTGCCAGAACCTACGCTGCTACAGGCCCGTGATGATGATGTGTGTGGGGGACCCCAACCAGGACAAGGCCTCGTTCTCGGTAAATGCCCAGTCCCTGGCGGGCGGCTGGGCCTGCCTCTATCTATCTATCTATCTCCATACACCCTGCCTCTCTTACTTGCTCCATCCTGGTGGGGCAGTGTGGGACTGTGCTCAATGTGCTAGAACAGCTAAGAGAGGACAGATGAATGCTGTGCTCTGAGCTCCTATTCAACCTCTACCTGTTTTGATTTCTCAGGGTGACTCTGGGGGCCCCCTGGTGTGTGACAGGACGGCCCAGGGCATCGTCTCCTTCGGCAAGAAGAATGGGTCCCCCCCAAGGGTGTTCACCAGGGTCTCTGCATATGTCCCCTGGATCGAGAGAACAATGAGGGGTCTCAGGAGCCCGGGACCCCATGTTGAAAGGCTGGGGCCCCTACACTGAAGGGGGAAGAGTTGGGTTTGTGTTTGGGGCTTTCTGAGCACAAAGGAGTGCCTCCCCAGAGCAGTGGCGCTGAGCCCAATGGGTGCTTGAATAAAACCCAGCTTCTTACTCACCCCATGTAATAAAATCCTGTACAAGACTTTTGGGGGGAGATTTGTCTTTCTGTATTGTGGCGCCCCCTAGGGCTGAGCATCCTGCATTGCCAACCTGGACACCTGGGTCCGGTTCCCCAGCCTGCTCTCTCCTCTTAGGAGCTGTGGGACCCCCTGGACGCAAGCACCCTGCACGGCCACTCCAGATGCCTGGGTCCTATCCCATGTCCCAGTCTCAGCCACTGGGGATGGGCACTCTGGGGTCCCCTAGAGGTGAGCGCCTGCATTGCCATCCCAGACACCTGGGTCCCAGTCTTTGTACAGTCTTTGCATTACACCATCCGCAGCGCCTCTCCTGCCTGTCTCCCTGACACCAATTTAAAAAGGCAGGACCCAATTTTATCTCCCTGCGTATCTGCTCCCCTTCCCCCACACATAAAGGTTCACAAAGGGCAGCACTGACTCGGCCTCAGCCACATGCTTCGCAGGGCAAGCTGGGGGCCAGGTGTGACGAATGTGGTAATTTCGGTCATGTTTTATGTGGCCTGATGTGCCTCAGTTTCCCCTCTGCATTGCTGGGCAAGGAGGTTAAAGGATTAAAAAGCTGCTCTTGGGATACAGCAGGAGATAGGAGGTGCTGGGACATGTCACCATATGGGGGTGGCATGAATGCGTCATTAACTGGCTGAACCCGACCCAGACCATTGGAAGAGTCAGAAAGCCGATGGGAACTCCACACACTCACCATGGGAATCGCCGGCAGGCCATGCTGGGGGGCTCAGCAGGAGAACAATGGCCTGGAGGTAACAGGAGGCTGGGGGGAGAGCCGGCCTTTACAGAGACACAGGGCCTCTCCCCTGGGACAGGCACAGAAACAAGGGCAGGGAGAGGGAGCAGAAATGGGGTGCACCCAGCCGGGCCAGATGGACTTGTCTAAACCTGGGCTTCTCTGGGCTAAGCCGAGGATGTCCCCAGTCTGGGTTCAGTCCAGGTAACCAGTAAACCCTGTTCTCTTTGGAAAAGGCAGCCGGTGTCACTGCCAGTCCTGTCTGAGACGCAGGGTTCCCAGGAGAGTGTAGACGTCTCTGAGAAGGAGTCTGTCTCAGTTGGCTCCGCCGGAGAGAGCTCACGGGGTGCAGCAGGGGGGCTGGAGCCCAGGGGCTCAGTCTCAGACGTGGTGAGGCCACATGGCCCCCCCATAGGCAGAGTGGGACCCCAGGGGGCTGGCACACTGACGGGGATCTGAAAAGCCAGGGTGCAGCAGAGATCCTGTGTGGGTGGAGGGGAAATAATGCATCAGTGGTGAGACGCACAGGCCGGGCCAGCCCTGCTGATGGTGGTGGCCTCAGAAAGGGAGGCAGAGCCCCCAGGAGAGGGAAGCATGGCAACAAAGGCAAGTGCTGGGCCACAGATGTGCATGGCCAGCACGGGGTGCAGAGCCCCAGATGTGCACTGCCCTAGGAGTCAATGGGTCAGATCCTGAGCTGGATTCGGTGGGGCCAGATCCGAGCTGGTGTGAATGGGACATAGCTCCATTGGGGTCAATAGGGCCAGATCCCAGCTGGAGTCAGTGGGGCGTAGCAGTGCAATAACCCAAAGTGTAACTGTCAGCGGTTCGGGGTCTCCCCTCCCAAGTGGTGGGAGAACCCCACGGTGTTTGTTACATGGCCAGAGACAGACTCTGTTTAACAGGAATTGCCCTGAATACAGAGAAGGAAACACCGTGAGGGTGAAAAGGTTTCTGTCATGTCAATCCTGAGCTGTTCCTAGAGCCGGAGAGGTGACAGTCAGAGGGAAGCATTAGACCAACTCCTCTGCCCTCCCGTACTGCACGGGCCAGAGCTTCTAGCCTTGGGGATCTGAATGAGTTTGCCTAGGAATTGGCCATTCAAATCTCTCCATTGGCTGGGTCTGAATCAGGCTTGGAGATGCTGCTGCCAAGGGCCAGGCTCGATTCTCCATCCCTGACGACACGTGATTCAAGCTGAGACGTTTCTCTAACAGCTCTGCTCTAGTTCGAGTCGGGATTAACTCAGGGACATCCCAGGGCCGGGGCTACGCAGGGGTCATATGGGAGGAGCACTGTGATCCCTTCTGGACTTGGAATGGACGAGTCTATTGAAGGAATCAAGTATCAGAGGGGTAGCCATGTTAGTCTGGATCTGTAAAAAGTGACAAAGAGTCCTGTGGCACCTTATAGACTAACAGACGTATTGGAGCATAAGCTTTTGTGGGTGAATACGCACTTCGTCAGAACTGGGTATTCACCCATGAAAGCTTATGCTCCAATACATCTGTTAGTCTATAAGGTGCCACAGGACTCTTTGTCGCTTTTTATTGAAGGAATGTTATTGCAGCAGGTTGAGGTGGAGGGACCCAGGGCATCTGAGGGCAGCTCTGGGAATCTCTCTCATGCCTCTGGCTCAGACAAATCTGGCCTTTAGCCAGACAGGGATCAGGAACATGGCATCTCCCGGTACTGGGGAGCGCTGGCCAGCGCAGTACTTGTTACCAGACTGAAAAAGCCAGATTGAGGGGAGTGTGGAGATACACAGATCGATTCAGTCTGTATCTGCCCCACAGCTACTGGATTTGGGTGTCAGGGTGGGTCTGGGTGTAATTCCAGCCCTATAGTTGCTACAGCCCCACTCCCTGCAACCAGAGACCTTCCCTGCCCTGGTGGATCCAGTGACTGCCCCATATGACAAGGGTCAGGAGGGAACTCAGTGCTGGAGATGTTTGTATCACCTCTGTACTGATTCCAGAGGATACAAGACAGGAAGTGAAATTAACAAGCTCTGCGATGGAGGGACTGCAGGGCCGCAGGCCCTGGGAGTGCCTGACTGAGTTGCTGTGAGCTGTGGCAAAGCAGTGTGGTGTAGTAGCAAGACCACAGGCCTCCGCTTCAGGATACCTGGGTTCTGTTCCCAGCTCTGCTGATGGGTGACCTTGGACAAGTCATGGCCTCTCTCCATGCCTCAGTTTCCCCATCTGGGGCTAATGATTCCAACCGCCTTTGTAAAGCACTTTGAGATCTACTCACAGGAAGAGCTACAGTCCCAGAGCCACAAAGACATTTAGGCTCCTGGTGATTTCAATGGGTGTTAGGCATCCAAACCCCTCTAGGTTTCAGGGATAGATGGTCTTATTTAGCTCTAATTTTGTTTATGGCTCAACCCAGGTTCGCTGAATCCTGCCCACTGCCCCATTATCCTCCCCCAGCTCTGGATCTAGGGACCAGTACTGGAAAAGGGAGAGCGAATTGTTCAAACAAGACTATTTTTTTATTTTTTTAAAAATGGATTTTTTCCCCTTAATTGCCATTGGTCATTCAAACAAGTGTCCATTTTCAATATCTTCCAAATAGTTGGAAATACACAATTCTTTCTTTTGTCCCAATGTATCTCAGCAATGCTTTCCAGGTTCCCTTCCTTTGGGTTTTTCCAACCTTCCTTCAGTATCACAATAATAATAAATAATTAAATATTTGTGGGATGGGAGAGGGAAAAAGAAAAGAAAAGAAAATACTGAAAATAAATAAAAGTTGGGTCCAGCTCAAAATGCACAAAACAAAACATTCAAAATTTCAATTTTTTCACACAACCATGTCAGTGTCCTATTGTCATGTGCTGTTTAATTCGGCTAGCCATGCTTCCTGGTGATAGGTTGGCCATCAAAACTGCAAAGCCCCGTTCCTGCTCTCTGGCTTGATGAAAGAAAGTTTTTAAGACACCAATGACACACTGCAGCTAGGAATTTTGATGGTAGAAAACCCTTGAAGACTGCAATAGATATAAAAATGATCAGCATTTGTAGAGGACGTATACAATTCAACAATGAAAATTGTATCCTTACTCCAGAATCCCCTAGGCTGATTTAAAACCCTGTGCACACGTGGGGATTCTAATGAATCAGGAGGAAAGGTTGTCACCGAATATTGTTCTGGGGTAATGGAGCATGTGAATGGGACAGATATAATACAGAGAGACCTGGGGACAGAAGAGTGACAGACAGAGAGTAAAAAGCCATGCAGACATAACCTGGAAGCAAAGGAATGTGGCCCTGAGCAGGGCCGGCTCCAGGCACCAGCCCACCAAGCTTGTGCTTGGGGCGGCACCTGGAGGGGGGCGGCGCGGCGCTCCGGCCCCCGGGGAAGGCGGGGCCACGGCCGGACTCGCCGCCCTCCCCCCGGCGCCCTGGCGGCCCTCCCCCGCCCCCGCCCCCCCCCCCGCGGGAGGCCGGAGGCTTTTTTGCCTGGGGCGGCAAAAAAGCCAGAGCCGGCCCTGGCCCTGAGAAACAGATAAGAGAAGTAGTTTTGGGCACAGAGTCTTTTCTGGAGAGGCAGGCTCAGGACAGTGAACAGAGAAGCTGTCTGCTGCTGTTTGATTCTGATTCTGTTCAGGGAAACAGGACTTGTAAATAAACCAGATTTCATCAAGTAAATACCAGGCCCTATTGTGAATTTCCGCTCTGAACCAGAGCAGCCGCAGAGCCCCAAACATTGACTAGCCGCTTGGAGTGACAATAAAATAGAACTAAATTTCAAACATAGAAGGGGCATTTGTAGCCAGAAAAGGATTTCAGGACTGAGCCATTCGTAGCATTTCTTTAACAGTGAAAAAAAATCCCTCTAATATAAACCATCTCAGGAGTTACACACAGGCACGGAACCCAGTATGGCTAAATTCACCCTTTAAAAGGGAGTGTCACCTTTAACTCAGTTTCTGCAGAGTTTCGTTGATCCAGGGAATGAATTTGGAGATTCTTGTGTATATGCTGGGGGGTCGCCCATCCGGATTTCCATTGGAGACGATGCCCTGGACCACCCCATCGCACACCAGGGGCCCGCCGGAATCGCCCTGCCAATAAGAAGAATAACATCAGTGACTGACATTACCCAGCACGGCC